CAACTGAAGAGATTCTCAGAGCCTGTGATGGAGGGAAGCATTTTAAACAGCTCAGAAACTTTCCAATTGTGCTCTGGTTTGGAATAATCAAATTCAAAATCCTTCTTAAAACAGGCTTGCTGGTCAATTACTTCTGCCTTCAGCATCTTGCTAAGAACCCACTGTGTTTTCAGTGAGGACTTGGAACAAGTCTCCCCACACATTGTATGAGACTCAAGGGCTCTCACAGCCTGTGGCTTCAGAGAAATTGATCAGAAATCCTAACAGAAACCCACACTTTCAGCTTTCAGATTGACTGATTAGCACTAAATATCTGAGCAACTAATTCTTAGAGCTGGAGCATTTATGTTCAGTGCCTTCTACTACAAGCCAATTATTATTGAAACAGCAGCTAATGCCCATAACTCATAAGGGCAAGCTAATACCCATTACCCATAAGGGCAAGCAGCAACTGCACAAATCTGGTTGATGTTACAAATAGTTGGATATTAAACTTGTCTTGTGGTTCAGCTGTATTCAATGGTGGTCATGAAACCCCCAGACATTTCTGTCAAAGGGAAGGTGCCAGGGGTGTTCAGTCTGGGTTGCAGAGGAAGGGAAATGTCTGACATGTCTCACCCTCTCTCACCTTCTCCCCACATGTAACACTCTTGCCCAACAGCAATAAAGCAGCTCTGCTCCAGAGTCAGGAAACCACTGTTCTCAGTTTGGACAGCAGCAGATGGAGGAAGCCTTTGTCTCTGGAGGAGGAAGACAGGGAAGCTGTCAATCACAGCTTTTAGGGACACTATTTCCATAGTCATTGCACCAGGTGTTTAACACCTGATATCACACTGATAAGGATTAGACATCACAGTAACACAGTCTGGGCCACGAGAAACAAAGAGCACACTCACCCAGGAGGACGACAGGAGGAGGATTCATTCCCACTCCCTTCCTTCCTTCCCAGTTTGAACTTGGAAACCCTGTGCAGCTCTTTCCACCCCCAAAATCCATGCAAATTTTCAAAGGCCATCTTGAAGCTAACATCAGGTTAAAGATTACAGGTGCCCGCCTGCAGTATATTTTAAATGTTCTTACTTCAAACTACAGGATTTTCCTCCCTTTTTGATCATAATTTCAAACTTGAACTTCCATCCACTGAAATAGGTCAGATTAATTAATGGAGCAGATTTCCTTTCATCTCAAGAACAGCAAACCATTCAAACCATGGGCAAAATACTGACATGCAATTAGGACTTGCATATTTGCCCATGCTGTATTCATTTGAACTTCTGTGGGGAAATAACTCTCTCAGAGTATCCTATGATAAAGATGTTAACTCATAAAATACTTAAGAAGAGTATTCAATAGTTCTCTTAACTGCACTATAGGTGCCAGAACATACCTTTAAGAATAACCATGTCAGTCCATGTTCATCTGCAATCAACACATTAAAATGTTTAGCTCTTCTAAGACTTTTTCCCCTCCTTTTCTTTCTCCTTTTAATAACAGTCTCATGCTAAAAGCCTGTGATTTCTGTTGGAGAAAGACAATTCCAAGAAAAAAATCCATTGTAAGTGTAAGCCTAATCTCCCTGTCCCCCCAGATTTTCTGCCTACAGTTCTGTCTGCATTTTGCACAATGACTTGAAAAAACATAGACATGAATAGTCAAGAGAAAGAGATACTTATTAGAATTATGACTTTTATTTTTATTCACTAGAGCAACATTGAGGAAAGAATTTTTACATACAGGTTTTTTAATCAACTTTACAAGCAAATTCCAATATACAGTATTTACTCTGGCCTGGGTTTAAAAAACCAAAAACAACAAAGCAGATAGTAAGGGTACCTCTTGTTTTAGCTAGTATTGAATTGAAGATTTTGCTACACGGGAATTATGTTGGTTTTATGGTGGTGCTTTTACAATCAGTAGGCAGTGAGCAGCTTTACCATAACAGTGACTGAATTTCCTTGAAAGCACAGTTGTAAGATGACTACACTGAGCCCTACCACCAGGGTCACATTAAATCCACTCTGCTCAGAAAAAGCCTCTGTAACAAGATAAGGAACAGCTACAGAAGCCCAATTCAAGAACTGATTTCCATTTGTACAGCAAGAAAATGTCCATATTAAGAGGATTATGTGCTGTGCAAAACCAGAAATACTTCCCCCCCCAACATGCAACCTACCCCAGTATGAGACTTTAGAATGTGCATATGGCTGTGACATGCAAACAAAGGAAATCACGCAAATGGTATTCAGTTTTCAGGCATCGCTACAACAAATCAGCATGTAGATCAAGGCTGAAATGAACTGTTCTGACCCATAATGCAGTCTGGTTGCTATGCCTACTCTCACTGCTGTAAAATGGAAAGTTGAGGAACCCCTTGGTTTTTTTTCCAAACTGTATCAAAATTGTGTCGTTTTGGATTTTCAGGGCCTTGGTAACTATTTCGAGAAAGTTGGAGAGATAATATTGCACTTGTTTTCTCACAACCATATTCTGGGACCATTATTCTTTAAGAGCTAGGCTAGTCCTAGGGAAATTTTGCCACTGGCTTTGACTGGCAGTAGGAAGTGCTAGCTTCAGGGAAGGGAAGGGTAATAATGATCTGGCTGTTTCATCAGTGTTAGAATTCCACGGTTGAATTAAAGTCATTGCACAACAAAAACTCGGTACACTACATGAATGCTTTTAAACATGCTAGAGTGCATATCGATCCTGTGAAAGTGATGTGAAAATACCTTGGAAACAGCAACACTACCGGGGAAATTTGTTTCAAACAAAAGCCACACACAGCAGGAGGCATCTAGATTATTTTAGGCACAACTCCAAGCAATAAAGCTCATTTAAAGTGCAATTCTGTTCTTTTCTTTTGTGTTTATTCACTTGTTAAAATGCGTAATTGCCTCTGTACACACATACTGAACAGTAGTTTAATACTTTTGTGAATATTGCACAAAAGAATGAGAAATCAAAACAAAAAAATGGCAATAAATCAGTTTTATAAATCTAAAAAAAAAAAAAAAACCCTGAAGATATCAAATACTTAAATGTACACATTTTGGATAATCTGCACCAGTACTGATGATATATCTGCACCTTCCATAAGGTAGATATGACACCTGAAAATACTCACTTAATCCCATTTGACAAGCACTCTCTCAGTGCCCTCTCATCCATCACTCCCCAAACCCCATCTTTCACTGAGGTGAAGCTTCAAGCCTCACTTCCCCACTTCTCTCCCAGCTGCCCATCTCGTGACAGGCTTTGCCATACTCTGGACTTACTATACGTGCAACAGAGCCTTCCCTGGTAAAGTCTGAAGAGCCCAAACATGCAGCTGTCCTAGAAGGATGCCAGGTTAGCAGCTGAACACAAACACAAGCCAGGCTAGCATCTGCCTCATCCATGATCAAATCCTGCTGGCTCCAGCTCAGTGTCTCACTAACCTGTCAGAACAAAATGGGGAAATGCTATAAAAAAGGACTATAATCTACTAATGTTCCTTTAATACATATATACATGCCCATATAAATATAAGATCTTCTTCTGGAAAGAAAAATTAGGAACTGTCTCTTTAATGAAAACCTTGATCATCTTGATATTCTTTGCTTAATTTGCTTTGATTATCTCCTTAATTTTCAGTAAAGGCGCAGATATGAATAAAGGTATAGATATCTATACTTTTAAATGTAAACATAAACATTGAACCATCACTAAATCAGGCTGGCGATACCTCCAGAATACGAAGCAGAAGATGATGAATTTCTGTCAATAACATTAAGTGAAAACTGTATTTTTAGACAAAACCATATACAACTAACAATAAAATCAGCTTCTCTTCAAGGAAAGTAAACTTAAAAAAAAACACCTTCCATAGAAATCTATATGGACCAGAAAATGAACCAGGAATCTGATCATTGCCTCAGCAGTCTTTAAACTCCTGAGAAACACAGTTAGCTGCCAGGAGCTAGTTTTGGGGAATATAAAAAGTGAGTTTTATTTTCTTATTGAAAGTAAATACGTACACTAAATACCACTAATTCAATGCTTTTCGTGGAAATAAATTATTACCAGAGCATAATTGTTACTGCAATCTCAAGTTGTGGTTTCTGATCCTATACCAACTATAACAACAGTATTTGTCTTGCTATGTCTTGCTTACATTGTCATCACCTCAGTTCACAGAAGGTCCTGCAGGTCCCTTATTTCAGACTGATCTAAGTTGCTCAGAAAAAGAATCTCCCCCTACCTATTTCCCTCCCCAAACTTTTCATTTTTCCGCTCTATCTTCAGTTAAATAAAATTACAGTGTAAGAAATGCAAAATAATTCTTGAATATCAGTGATGTACTGAAAACTCAGGTGAGATGACTCTTTTTTCCTTCACCCAACTGAGGTATCCACCAGGATACCCCGAGTTAAAGGGCTTATATTATAGAAGCTGAATATTGATTTCATTTATGAAATGTCTACATCTACTCACTTTAATTCTCTCAAAGAAAATACTGTAATATGTCAATGTCCTACAGCCAGAGCCTAGAACAAACTAACACTGTGTTGCATTTTACTGACATTATGTGCTCTTCAGGAACAGATTTTGGGCCAAATTGTTGCAGCAGCCTTCTGCTGCTGATTTTAAAACCAACTTGAGAACAGGAAAAAAAACCAAAACCAGTAACATCCAAGAGAGTCATGGTAAAGATGGGAAGAATTGGAGATGGGACATAACAATGAATTTCTGGAAAGCTTCACTGGATACGCACACATGTAACTCGCATCATTCATGTCATGGTCCCAGAGTGCACCAAGACTACTTTCAGAAAGAACACTTCTCCTAGAGAGCACAAAAATGTAGATTTTTTTTCTGCTTAGTTTCCCCAAGAAGCTCCTTACCAGTTATGCACTTCTTCAGAAATTACAGAAAAGAAAAAAAAAAAGAAAAAAAACCCCAAAATAACACATTTTTGAAAAACTCTTAAGAGTACCAGCTCTGGATTAGGACATAACAGGATTGCTCAAAGCAAATAAGAGGGATTAATTTTTTTCCTTTTTAAAAAATAGTTGCATTTTTAATATAAGTTTTATTCTGTAAAATAGTTTCAAATTCTTACACATATGGCAAAGTTTGTGCAAAATTTCAAGTCAGGTACTTCAGAGCCTTTCAATATTAAGCAGAAATCAATAAATACAAGCAGAACAATAAAAGTTTAAAATATTAATTAAAATGCATGTTGTGCAACCTCATCATAGGTGTTCTGGACCCCTTATTCCCAGAGGCTCCCTACTTACCAATTCCTAAGAGCCTGCATTGGAAGGTTTGGACAAACATCCTTAGCACTGCATTTCAAGAATCTACCCAGTAATGTGTCTATTCAACACAATAAAAACATACCACAATCATTTACCAAATGAGGATGTTTAAGCGAGAAGATTCATTTCACCCTGTGAAATCTGCCTAACGTCTGTGAACAGTGAAAACGGGATAAATAAAGAACAGAGCTACTTCAGATAACAGCAAAACAAAACAACACAACCCACCCAACCCATGAGATTAAATAACATTAAATATGTCAGTCTTGAGAGAATGATAAATACAAGGATTTTTGCATAGGCCTCTGGAATACAGAGTCAGAATTATGGCCAATAAAACATCTGCTAGTCAGTCTAATTTTCTACCACTCTGACCTAACGAGTACTCAGAACCAAGAAGTTCAACAGAACAGCAATTTCATTGTCTAATAACTCAAACAGAGGTAAGAAATAATTTCTGCCATCCTGAAATAAATAGTGCAGCATTCTGGCATTTGTGGTCATCACAGACTTCAGTATTTGCTTAACTACAAAGATTGCAATACTATCTTTATTACAGACCAACGATAAAATAAAGCGCTCAAGAGAAACTGCACAGCTCGTAACATCAGCCTCAGAACACGGCAGGATGGAGAATGCAAACCCTAAAGATGCAGTTTGGAACAGTGACAGGATTTGCAGGCTGCAGGTACAGCAGGCTCCAAGGCAGTCACAAGAGGGGAAGTGGGACACGGCGTGGCAGCGGGTGAGGTTGGGACGGCCTCAGTGTGTCTTTGGTTTCGGGAGGCGGGACTGCCGAGCGGAGGGCACGCTGTCCCCGGAATGCGCACCAGCGGAGTGCGTCTGCACGCCCTCCTTCCTCTGGACTGGTGGCCTTGGGATGTTGGACTTTAGGGAGGTGTTCTGAGGCTCTGGAGGTACTGGTGTGGATTTCTGGCTGCTCACTTGCTTGGATTTGACGAACGATGTACTTGGTGGGCGAAGTTTAGACACCTTCTGACTCTGTTTACCCTTCAGGTTATCCTGCCCAGATGTTGGCTGTGGCTGAGTCGAACTCCTCAGTGGTAGAAGCTCACGTTCCTTGGAAGCAGCAGAGTGATCTGCAGATCGTACGGGAATGGCCACGGTAGGAGGCACTAAAGCAGTTGGGGGCTTCACGATTCTCAAAGTCTTTGGCTGGGAAGCCTGGTTTGTGAATGAGGGTTGAACTTTCACAGGTAATCCAGTCTGCACCTCTGGAGCATCAGCTCGTGTAGAGGTCTGATAGTGGGAACGAGGTGGTAATGTACCTTTCTTATTACTAGCCACCTCTCCAGGGTCTTCGGTGTTTTTGTTTTTCAAATTGTCCAAATATGATGCATTTTCATCTTTTGTGTTTAACTGTACACTTGTTGATGAGTTTACGTCATTCAGGCTATTTGGGAGAGAGACATTTGCAGCATTTCGATTCTGATGATTTCTATTGTCATGAAGATCTGGTTTAGGATATTCACTGTGGGCCTCGATATGTGGAGTTTTTATTAGTTTTCCCTGGGCGAGGTCTGTGGAATTGGGAAGGCTGCTGGAAGGCTGTAGTACTTGAGGCTGTTAAAGAGAAAATAATACAAGAATGTATTAGGCACAGAAGACACCAGGTACACTCAGAATCCAACGTGAGCTGACTGAATGCTTGATAAGGGCTTGTATATCTGGGTTTTTAAATCAAAACTTTTACTTTGGCAAAACAGGATGAGTCATGGGACGCACACAAATGGAACTCATAACTGAAGTGGAAAAAAATATACCAGCACTGAAATAAACAACAACATAAAGACAAAAAGGAAACCGACCGGCTTAAAAAGGAAAGATGAAGAAGGCATGGTTGATTGATGGTTTCACCCAAATCTGCAGGACAGCGCGAGAATCAACATCAGTGCAGATGAGCTCTAACCAAGTGCTTAACCCAACACAACAGCTATGTCCAGCTTCAATTACTGCTCACTGCTTACTGACCTCAACTACACCAACCCTTTTACTGCACAGGCAGGAAAGGACCACAGGGACTTACAGACCATTTCCTTGCCTTACTGAGGCCAGAGGCCAGAAAGTCTGGTGGACGTAAGTGCTTATCAGGCTAGTGGCTAAGCTTCGGTAACTGTTTTATCTTGAACTGATTTTAAATGGACTGATAAAGAAGCAGAGTTCATGTGAAAGTAGAGAGCACACTCTACCACACTGATAGCCATGGGATAAAGAGAACTGTAGAAGATTTTACATTTTATCAGAAGATACAATCTAATCAGACACGCATCAGACAAGAGAATTGCCAGTACCTCTTCCGGTTAATTTCTATTCTCTTTGCTCTGCCCTGTAAAGAGACTTAAAAGATTAATGGTGTACCACTTTCACAATACATCCTAGACCTGCAACTTGGATACAGATCTTGGAAGCATTACTAAAAATTCTGCAATTTGTGGCAAGACCCAAAATCTACTAAAACCTAAACTGCAGTTTTAGCAGGTTTGGATTATTTTTCTCATTTTCTTTACAAAGGAGGGGAACTGAACTCCTGCCAACTAGCCATCACTCAACTACCTGGATTCTTACCAGCTGACAGGTTGCATGTACAGAGTAAACAGGCTTATTCTGTTTACTAGTGAAATTGAGTAAATAAAAAAGAAGCAATGTTTGTGTTTCAGAGATTTGACTAAAAGTGTCATTTTAGTCACTCTCCTGAATTATTCACAAGTTCTAAAGAGAAAACCCATTATTTGTCTGGTCTTTTTAACTCTTCTTTGAATCAGCAGGAAGAATGCAATGATTGCTATGTATGCCAGATTCCTGTTACACATTTAGGGCCACAGCCCATCTCAGGACTCTTTAGGCTTTTCATCTTTTCCCTGGCAGGATTACTACTGAAAACAGAATCCTCAAAATCCTTCACCAAGAAAAAAAAATTAAAGGTTAATGAGAGGAAAATCAAGGTTTCTCAGTCTATTTTTTTATTTACAGGCAGTTTTTCCCTTTAGAATAGAATAGTTATCTCATAAGGAAGGCAAAATCTGGACCAGTGACATCCACTGTCACTGACAGACATGTAAGGCAAATATCCTGAGCAGTCAGAACATGATTGTTTTGGAAAGAGGGAAAAGATTAAAAAAAAGGCAAAAAAGCCTCCAAAATTGTGTCAAATGAGTACAAAACCATTATTCCTTATGTTACCCAAAACTAGCTTAACTTTGTAAATCCTTCTTAACCGTACAATCCTACAGGAAGGAAATGCTAAACACAAGGAGAAATTGCATACACTGAGAGAATTACAGCTTAAATAAAATTAGCCCTCCAGATATTTTTTCCATTTTCCAGTGTTTATTACAGATGTTATTATCCTTCCAGTCTAGGAGCTGACAGCCAGATGTTAGCCAAAATGATTTACTGGTTTGAGATCTCACCTGCAAAACCAAAACTGCTAATGAATGCAGAAACCAAAGCAATATGTACCCAATTCCCATGCAAATACTACAACAAATAAATCCTATTTTCTAATCCTACTTGAAGTAAAAAAAATTAAAACATTTATAGCCCACAGGATTGTTTCAAATGTGAAAAAAATAATTGTCAGAAAATTTTTCTCCCTCTAGGAGCTAGAAAGTGTTTTTAAATGCTACTCTTCAAAAACACAGGTAAATATCAAATATAATCAATAAAAATTCTGACTTAATATCAAATAATTCTAGCAACACTAATCAGCAAAATTCAAAAATTGGTAAATTGCAGAAGAAGCTAAATTTGTATGGAAAGTAAAGTTAAACACAAACACATCTGAAGTACAACAAAGCCATCAAGGTTTCAATAATGCTATTTTGAATTCTTCTGACAAAGGCTAGGTAGTATTTGAGCTCTTCCCTTCAGGCAATTTTGCATTTTACATATAAAAATAGCCAAAATATATGTTTTCCTCATTATCCTTCATAACCTTAAAAGGTCTAAGCAGCTTATTAGCCAGAAAGTTGGTGATACTAAGATAGAAAATGGCTACGTGCTCAGAATTATGAGGACACTAAAGCTCTGCTATCATCCTTGCCCTGTTGTTTTAAATACTGTAGTGCTTTGTAATTGTGTATTTCTACTCAAGATCTGTCCAATTACCACAATGACAGATTTTAATATCATCAAATATCTACATGCATTAACATTCAAACTGACACTAAAAGCAGCAAAATGCCACTTGCAAAATACGCATGTAACATTTCACAAGGTATCCAACACTGACATTGTCACCCACGGCTCATATCTTTGTACTAAATACAAGTTCTCCTTTTACAAAGAAAGTCTTTAAAATTCTGACCCTGTTATTGGTAAAAACAATAAGCCAGCTGAAGAACTGAAGTACTTGGTGAATTCCATCACATGAAGGAGGAGAAATAGATAAAAAAGCATTCTGCCTTCCAGGCACAGTATTTTATTTCACACAAGTCCTAAAATAGGGTTTCATCTGCATTGTTTTGAGTGCACTTCTGGTAATATTTCTGGGGTGGGACACACCATGATTTGGAATTGACTGCTATGCTATCCAGACTTCTATTTATGTCCCATGAAGAAAATGTGCAGGCAGACAAACACCTGCACTCCTTTGGGATGCTCCTAAAATGCAAAGTTGGACTCAAACATTTCAAGTACAATGGAACTGAAGACACTTACTCCTTCTCAAACTGGAAGTACATTTGACAAAGTGCTTTGTGCACGTGCTCCTTTCTGCACAAAGGAAATGATTTTTCTGAACTGGCAAGTCTTCCAAATATTGATGTACTAACCAAAATTACTCAATTCACTCCCTACTTCATTAGGCTAAGAGATTTTTCTATTATTTCTCTCCAGTACAACTGGCTGTTACATCATCCAGAGAAAGATGTCATCCACAGCAAGGATTACCACTATTGTACAGTTATCAAACTACTGAGGTTGTATTAGCTTTGTGCTGGAAAACTGAAACATCACGTTGTACTGTTAAAGAAGTCAAATGGACTGTTAAAGAAGCTAAAAATGTGGTCATGACCGTGACATTCATTCAGTAGCTGAAAATTCCCTTCAGTTTTGTTTTGGTTTTCTTGATCCCCGTCCCTATTCCCTTTACAATAACTCTGTAGAATGAAATAATTTTCTCCCTGCAGTGTCTTGAGGAAGGAGGGAAGCGATGCAATGGAAAATCTGAGAACTGCATGCACATCTCCCACAGACATGCATCATGCACAGGGCAAAGAAAAAACCCAATGGTGAAAATGCGTGAGGGGGAGATGGGAATAAATCTGAAGTTGTACTGTACCACGCTTTATCACAGAAGTAATGGACTAACTTCTCAACTCCTTGCCAATGGCATAATGGAAAGCAGAGACAAGAAAAAGACAAGGACAATGATGTCAGAGGACCAAGACAGAACAATGAGCAATTGCCATGACAAACTCCAACTTTTCACCATTTCAATTGCAATTACCGTGTCCCCCACTGGTTTTTAATCCTCCTTTAAGAAACAAAGGAAGCAACAGTATTTAAATAATGCAGTACAAAAGCATTTACAGCAAGACCTGCATAGAATACCTTTGCTCTTACAACTTCAAGGTTTATAGCAGTTAATCTCTCATACTCCAAATACTGCAACTAGAATTTGTGTGTACTATTAAAACTGTATAAAAGAAAAATCTTTGCATCCATGTATATGCATGTTCAATATCTAACCCTGAACAGCAAGGTCATTAAATTCACAGCATTGCATCCTTGGATTATATTGACCTCATTTTTCATAACTCAGTCTTCCTAGCAACTCACTCACAAGTTGGAAGAGACAACTACCACAGGTTCTTTTTGGAAAGGGGTACAAGGGAAGGATCACAAACTCTGCTACATAATTCTTTCATTTCCTCATCAGTTCTGCCATCCCTTCTCTCACTGCCTTGGACAGGATAAGCTGTCATTTCAAACCATGGCCTGTGCAGACAAAGCCCTGCTGAAACGCTGCACCAGAGAGCTCTCATTTTCCACCTCTGGAAAACATCAACATTTCACACCTTAAATCTGTAGCATTTGCTAATACCTTCTTTTTGAACTTCTTTTTTTTTCTTTCTCTTTGATCTAGCTGGTTTTTATCCATATTTCAGCATTAATTACAGGATTCTGCAGTATGGAGAATGACCTCAAATAATGACACAAAACAACTATTTTTAAGCATCATTCAGCACAGCCATGAGGCTAGTAAAATAACTGGTAATGTGGCAAAGCATTGTTATTCTTTCTACATAGTCTGTACAGAAACCCCAACTTGGAAAATTTTATTTTTTCAAAGAAAAATTACTTTGAGTAATGCATAACTACATCAAGGCAGGTATTTCATCCACAAATATGGATATATGTGCAGCAAGCAGATAAATATGACCATATACAAAATCAAGGGGTTTTTTGCAAACATAAACTTAGTTTAGTACAAGACTCCTTTCTCTTGTAGCTGACTCTGCAAGTACTGAAGTTGGAAGGAAAGGCATTTTTCCTAAAAAACTCTTCTTCATATAGCTGAACACTCTTGGAGAAAAATAATTACATAAAAAGGCAGTAAT